CCCCAAAACCCCAAAACCCCAAAACCCCAAAACCCCTATTCTTTATCAGAAGATTGAAAAAATAAGTAGGTTATCTTCCTCAGCTCTTGTTTTGATCAAACAGCAAGTTCTTCTTGTGTTTCCTAATGAACTTCTTCCTAAGCTTCACTCTGTCTGAAGGTGTAGGGAGGAAATTGGTAGAAGACCTATAGATTTTTCTGCTGTTAGCTGAGGCTTCACTTTTGTCTTCCTTGCGGACATATACCAAATATTTTATCCTCTTTTGGATTCTAGTCTGGATATGTCTTGTATTGCCAGCCTTCTTCCAGTCAAAAGAGTTTTCAAGTAGCTTTTGTGATTCATTTTTATAAAATGTCTGATTAAATAAGGGATTGTCAGTCGGCAATTCATACTTCTTTATAGGTGGCTGGTAAGCTTTTCTTCGAATGAGAGTGCTCTTGCCTCTTTCCTTATCCTTAGTTAAGGTAGTAGCTTTGGTACTCGCTTTTTCAGACTCTAAGATGAGCTTTTTGTACTCCTCAAGTTGCTCACTAGGTCTACCAAAGAGTCTGCTTTTTACAGAACTCGGCTTCTTAGCTTCACTCCTTCTTATTTGAGACATTGGTTTGCTAGTAGATCTTAAGCTCCATTTTGAGGTTCTCTCATTCTCAAGAGCTGTTGACTTTTGAGGAGTCACCTGAATATAAGGATTGGTCATATCTAAGCTCCTCTCTCTGGGGTTGAAAGCATCCAATGTTTTGATATAAATAGACTTATGTTCCTTCTTCTTAGGTTTGAGCTTTAAAAATTTGGAGCTTTTCTTCCTGAAGTACTTATTGGTCTTTCTCTTCATATATTTCCGGAATCCTTTATAACGGAGGATAGGCTCGTCTCAGTCGCTTTCTTCTTCCTTAACCCCAATACCATATTCTTTTTTAAAGTTTCTTATAGTGGTCAGTCATCACTTTGTGTAGTTTCGTTGCCAGTGGGGAAGAATCCTTATTCAAGTGCTCCATTCCAAGAGTTATCTTTCTGAGAGGAAGGTCTACTGAAGTATCTAGCTCTTCAGGTTTGATATCTTTCACTTTGCTATGAATTTTCTTCAGGTACTTCTCCTTCATTTTTCCATCAATTTTGAGAGTCGAGTTATTTTATTGTGATGTCTTTGACAAATGAGAGGTAGAGTTTTCCATGCGAATCAGCTTGAAAATGAGCCTTGAACTTGAGAATTTCTATCCCATGCATGGTTTTTACATAATCTCATATTTTTAAGCAATAGTAATGACAGAGCTATTAGATTTAATGAAGGAAATACCTCTTGGTTGTTAAGGTCTTCTGGGTCTCCCATTCGTTTGAAATCGTACTGAATCTCTCTTCTGGGATGTTGCTCAAGGATAGGTGCGTAGAATTTAACAATTGTCTTTTTCTCAATGTTGTCCACTCCTCTAACTTCATTCTTGAAAACCAGCTGAGAGTAGTCATCAGGATACTAGAAATATTAGCTTCATAAGACAATTACCCTTAAAATCTTGCTTGGAGTATCCCAAAATTGCGATATTGCTGGATCTCTGAAATAATTTGACCGATCTGGAGGAACTCATGTGGATTCAATCACTTTTCCATAAATCTTATTTGGAGTCTCTTGGTCATCTGTTTCTATCTTATTTGAGAATCTATGATTGATTGTTTCAAACCTACCCTCAGTATATCCTGCTTTAGTTGATGAAATGTAAATTTATTGAAATTTTTCATAGTGCCCACATAAGAATCTCTTTCTGTCTTAATCGCAACCAGGTCCTGGTCTGTCTCAGTTCTTGTAAAATGCAAAATGTCAGCAATTCTGATGCAGCATCCTTTGTATTTATCACTCGGAGGAGTAAGATGTTCAAGGAGCCAGATGAAATCTTTCTGTAGCCCTTCAAAATATTTCTCCTTCTCAGCCCCGTGGGTTTTGAATTTGCTGTTGCTCTTACATTGCTCTAGGCAGACTGATCAATTTCAACGATAATTGTACATAACCTGCTCTGAAGAGTAAACTTGTCAATATACCTTTTAATAAAAGTGACTTCCTGGCTTTAGCTGGTGTCTTGGAAGTTCTTTTATTTTCTCTGACTAAAATTCTGGTTAGATTTCACTAAAAATATGCATAAGCCCAATTAGACCGAAATGGGATTCAGTAAAATGTATTTGGTAACAGAAAATTCTTGCTTACTTCTTAATAAGCTCGGCTTATGTTGACAGTATCCTGAATGCACATTCTCATGAGCATATTGGTCGTGGATGACGATTGTATCAACCTTGGTGCTTGATTTTGTAAAAATACTCTGATTGTTCTAGACTTATGACAAACTCCCTACAGTCTTAAGGCTCAGATCCATTTTATTTATATTATATATCAATTTTATTTGAGATAACGGGGTTTTGGGGTTTTGGGGTTTTGGGGTTTTGGGGTTTTGGGGTTTTGGGG